TTTTTCTCATTGGTTACTCATATGAATGTATAAATCGTTTTATCATTCTATCATCATGTAATTATTTATACATTATTCAAGCATAAACACCATATTCATAAGATGGTACATACGTATCGTGACCACGTGGTCATTGTAATAGTTTATTCACCTAACTATGTATATTTAATACACTTTCAAGTGAAAAAAGGAAAATATATACTGCCTGTAAGGAATACATTTTTCTCTGTATTTTTTGTATATATTATTGTCAAAATCGAAAGTCACATATAGAAATAGTTTACGCTTCTAATGGCGTAAATATATGAGATGTTTTCTTTAAATACAATTGAATTATCAAGTTTTGTATTGAACGCAACAGAATGATTTTCTGTGTACTAATGTTTAAATGACTTGTCAAATTAAATTTATTTCATAATGAGTCGTCTTTGCCAATTATTATCGATCAATTATTAGCTACACGACTTTTTCTTACTCTTCTCAATGTATCAGTTCTTGTTGATACTCTATTCACGGGTTTGACTTTACAAACCCATAGTGAAACCATCTTGAGGATGTGAGTATCTATCATCTCATGACCCATACATACCCACACCCATGTGAATGTTTGAGAAATAGTTCAGGAGTCCATGTATATTTTGTTTGTTGTCTGTAAAACAATGATTTGTTGATGATATGCTAATGAATCCCAATAAGCAATACTTTTGAAAAATTTCTCAAAAGTTAGTTATTCGACATCTGTTTAAAAAAAAGAAGAACATTTCATAATCATTTTTTGATCATAGTTATGTGTTTGATTTTCTGTCTTAAACACACTTTAACAATGACATTATACAAAATAAATTATAAATACAACTGACAAGGGAACATATTTGAGTGTACCCACGGAGATAGAGTTTAAAAGTATTTTATCGTGTATTGACCATGTTGAATATCGCAAATATCGACAATTTAGCTGCCCGTTCTGAGATCGAAAAAATAGCACTATTTCACATTTCTGCTAAATGTTATATCCTATTGTTTGATATCACGTTTTAACGAGTTCTTTTTCTCAAGCTTGTGGAAAATTTAGTTTTTTCAGGAAAATGGACACATAAAACGAATAAAAGTTTCCATTTATGCAGTTTTTTCGCTGTAAAAAATCATGTTATCCATAATTTTTGGAAAAAGAACTCGTTAAAACGTGATATCAAACAATAGGATATAACGTTTAGCAGAAATGTGAAATAGTGCTATTTTTTCGACCTCAGAACGGGCAGCTAAATTGTCGATATTTGCGATATTCAACATGGTCAATACACGATAAAATACTTTTAAACTCTATCTCCGTGGGTACACTCAAATATGTTCCCTTGTGAGCACAGTTTGTTTTTTGTTTATTTTTACAATTAAAAAAAAAATTATAAATAACTAATCACAAAACTAAGAAAATGAACCTATATAATTCGTAAAATATATTGAATATATGTATTCTATGAAGTGTCATTTTTCATGTCTGTAGTGTAACAATGAGGATCCGAGTATTCCCACCATTTAGATGGTTTCAAAGTTTTTGGATGGGTCTTTGATGTACGTATCATCATGCCATAACAAATAATATTATCTTGAGTAAATTCCTGATCTTCTCGGCCTAATATAATCCACACCAGCTCGTTATTTTCGAAATTTGGATCTATTACTTTTTTTTTATATTCGATATCTAGGAATGTTTCGGGTCTGATATCGTGAATCGATCTTGGATTAACTCGACATTGAAAGACTAACTGATACCATATTGTTTCGCCATTTTTCGTCGTTTTCTTCCATGGATAGGCATGTCTTGGATGAGCACTATATTCAATACTAGGTGAGACATACACTCTTGGTATCCCTTTAGCATAGTAACATCCTCTCATCCTAACTTTGAGACCAGAAGTAATAATGCTTGATGCAAATTCGCCTGATGTTCCATGGTATGTTGTATTCCAATTACCCCACTTAGCATCAAACTCTTTGCCATCTGTGGCTACCTTAATACCAAAACGTTTCCAACCTACGCATCGGAAATAGTAAATAGATTAATAAGTTAATATTGCTGTACTAACCTGAAGGGCAATAATAAGGTTTACCACCTTGATTGCGTGGATTTTCCCAATACTCTCCTGCAGAGTCTTTAGATGACCAAACATAGTTCTTATCCCACCTTGGATCCATTAGTCTACCTTCAATTTCCAACCCAAACTCACCAAGTGTAATTGATTCAACATTTTCATCAATATCCTTACAACATTTATGCATTGCTTCCATTTCAGCAAGAGCATCTAAAATTTTCGTAAAACATGTCTACGCATTAACCTTCTTATCTTCAAAAGAAGAGGATATGAGTGGGGATGTCAGTAAACAACAGATGCCTACACCCAACTGCAATTCACTTATATATATATATATATATATATATATTCAGAGTCAGCGTATATGAATAGTAATTTCTACTAAATTTTATGTTGATCTTTTTTTATAGAAACATTATAAATTGGAGCTCAGCGCTATGCATTTGTTGTTACACTACAAACAGATTTACATATCATTGAAACACGCGAAGGTTTTTACTTCGTGCAAAATTTTCAGATTATAATTGAGATCATAGCTTTTCATGCTTCTGAATATTCTTTAAGTCGTTTCAATTATATTACTCACATCTCAGTAAGTTCAGAAAACAGTATTTCAACATTAAAACAGACTGAATTTGACCAAAATATTTGTTTAACATACGTAAACGTCGTTTTAAAGCATAAAATATCTGAAAATGAATTCTATAAAGGCCATCAAAATCTTTTTTCATGTGTCTGGAAAAAACAACGTTCTGATGGTGTGTTTATATATAGAAGTCATTTTCAATTACTTTTTGCTTTGAAACAAAGTTTACGCATGATAAACAGGTATTTTAGTCAGAATCAGCTCGTTTAAATGTCGAGATGTCGTTTTATGAACCCACTAAGATCAGATATCTTAATTTAGTTTTCGATCGAGTTTCCATATGTGTGTTTAATTGAAAGAGCACTATAATTGATGATACTAACAAAAAAAACAAAAAGAAGATAACATGATCACGACAAAACGTACTGAACTATAATTCTAAATCCTGAAAGGATTAGTCCTAGCCTCCCTAAATGTTTGCCCGTTTATACTCGCGCTTTCATTGGTTTATATTTTCAACAATCAGATGAGAATACGCATTTTCTCTCTAAAAATATAAAGGGTAGAGCACCATGATTGTTCTGTTAAAATAATAAGTCTCGTTGATCTCTCTCTCTTCCGTACAGAAACTCCCATGTTTCTTCTTGATAACAAGAGAGAGAACGTCCGCTCAAGAAGAAGGTGCGTGTATGAGTATTCATATGAGCATGTGGATGTGTATACTGTATTCATTTACATCCACACCTACTCTCAAGATGGTGATTGCCATTGTTAATCTTTATTCAACACTGGTAACGTATTCTATTTGTTAACATACCGTACGGATCAATGTTTCCAGATGCCTCGTCTTTCACTTTCAAATTTTTCAGTTTTGCAGCGGTTAAATCAACAGAATTATTTGCACATGACACTGGGATAAGCATTGGATGATCGGACTGAACTTCTTGCAGCTGAATAGTTCGAAGACCGTGACCTTGATTGAGATTACCTTTCACTTGGAACTCAGTAGCAGCAAGTAATAGTACTTCCTCTTCAGATGGATAATACGAATGTTTTCGAATATCTCTAGCTGAATTGCAATGAATAGTAAACATTGTTCTTGTACCTTCCATGCCTAAAAATTGATCTGATTGGAGGACATCAATGGAAGTTGTACAGGAAGAAAAGCCCCACCATACGAATGTTTCGTTTTTTTTAAATTGTTGGCTTAAATCCGATTTGACGCCTCGAAACACTGTTAGGTGAGGAATCGATGGAAGACGAAATAATGCTGCAAGAAAAAGGCGAAGAAAGAGAAACCATGGTTTAAGTTTTGTTCGATTTTCTGACCGTAGAGTAGCATTTAAAGCGCAATAAAGGCATTCATCCAATGGCTCCCATCCCATTGAATAGAGCATGATCGAAGCTGATTCATCTTGCGTTAAATTATCAGCCGGCTTCTTACATCGTTTCTTGGCCGCATATGCGTGACTTTTCACTGTTGGTAGTATAGACACGAGCGGTTCAACTGCTTCTTCGAGTGAAACAATGGGCATTTTTTCGTAACCGGTGATGGGCGTAAGAAACTCCATAGGTTCCTGTGCAATGTCAGTCAAGCGTAGAACACGTTGAGCAAAATATTCATCTTCGCCACTTGTTGCCATAGCAAGCACAAACGACTAATTTATATATGAGTTATATACGACAAATACGTATCTGAAAGTTAATGTAACAAGATTTATAAGGTTAACAAGAAAACGTTATTGATTCAAATATGAAAATAAAAGAGCATTGCTAATTCATTTCGATATGTTCTATACTACACCGAAATAGAAATGGATGAGTGTGGGTGTGGGTATGAGTAAATAAGAGATACTCACACTCTCTTATGTTTTTTATATTTATATAAAACACTAAAATATATGTAAGTTAAAATCTAAAATAATTAATGAAAATATTATAAATTTTTTTTTGTTTTTCAAATGACTTGGATTTTATAATTCATGTATATTTTTAGACAAGATAAGTAAAAGGAAAATGTTTTATGTATTTCTTTCAGTAAAGCGTTGAATAATCTTTATAATTAAGAATATTCGATATATAGATGTTGTTTGTATTCCTATTACATTCTTCATATGTTGTATAACTAAAATTTCAACGTACGTATATTTTTAAAAGAAATATAAATCTTTATTCAAATGTATAAACTAAATTCTATTGTTTGATGCGTACTTAAGAAGTTTTATTTGAACTGAAAACTTTTCAAATAAATACTTTTAATGAAGAACATTTATAGTAAAAATTTCAAGCTCAATACATGGATTTAAATTCTAATATTGACTTTGCCCATTATTTATCTATAGTTTTCAAAAGAATCTCGAAGATTCTACTTTTGAAAATGCTACAGAACTCAAGACAATTTCAAATTGAAGAAAACATCTATGTACAAAGTTTTTCCAGACGAAATTTTCGAATTTGATTGTCTTTATTTTTTCTAAAGGTTTTAGTAGAATTGGAATTGAAAATAAGGTAAAGTTAGTAATCAACATAATGTTAAATCTCTCATTCTTTTTCAGTTCACAACTTCAATATGAAAAAGATTTAGTCGAGCGAAAATTATCTATTACTTAGTAGTTCAAAATAAAACAAAATATTGATTATATATAAAGAACAATGATAAAATAAACATTCGTAATCATTCTATAAATCGAAGCATTTTGGTTCGGTATATTCGAGTTCAGATGCTGCAGAAGTATATGCTGTTTCTATCAAAACGAATTTATGATTGAAAAACAAACAACCGATTCTATCTATAGCAAGTTATTTAAAATAATTAAATTATCACGAACTAAAATAAGTAAAGGTGAGGTTAAAATAGAATAACCACATCCTAATCATCCGCGTCTATAGCCATCTCAGTTTATATTGATTTAATTATTTAAAATAAACATTTCTCATATTTAAAATAAATTCTCATTCAGTGCTCGGACAGACAAAATATTGCAATAATACACTTTCACATTAAAATAATATCGCAATATATAATCGGATAAAAAAGAAAAATTTTAGTTTTGAGGTCTCATTAAAGAAATCCATAATTATCTCGTCGATACAATATATGGAAGTATACATACAGGAAAAATCATTTCGCTGTTGACTCTATGCAATTTTTTGAATCAAATCAGAGTCCAGCAAAAGTTTGACTTAAATGCCGACGTCAACGTGAGTGAGGAGACTCAATGTAAAAAAATGAGTATGGTTGTATGTCTGTCTATTCTTTAGCTATATCATCACCTTTACTTTCATTCAATTTTACCTTCATTTTCAAGATAATTGTTCTATGATATTCTCTATGTTCATTTTTATATTATTAAAAAAAAACTTACCGAAACGGAACTATTTTAAACAATTGAATTTCCAAACTTCTGATGTTTTGTATAATTATTTTGATATAAAAGAAGAACTTTGTATGTTTCAATTTGTATTTCTTTTTCAGTGAATAAATTCTTCCGACTGTTTTGTAAAAGAATAACATTTTATGTTTCGTTTGTTTCTTTCCAACTATACATTCGATTTAAACAAAGAAATATGACAAAACATTTCAAGTGAAGAAGAGAAGCAAAATAACAAAAAAACACTTTTTTATTTTTGATCAAATGGATTTTTAGTGTTTCATAACGAATAAACATTGAAGAATAAAAAATAAATAAAATGAAGAAAATAAGATTTTTGAAAGTTGGAAATAAGTTCAATTAAAAATAACATTTTTAACAGTTTAATCTTGTTAATTAAAGAAATTAAAAATCTCAAATAAATTATCCAACAAAAGAAAATCTTTCGAAAATAAAAGTATTGATAAATATGATGATTTCATTGGAAAAAAGAAAACTAAATCGAAATAAATAAGTATAAAATATGATTAGATTTAATCATAAAAACAAAAGTATTATTTATAATCGAATATCTCAGCATATATACATAAAGAAAAGTTTCATCTTTTCTCTTAAAAAAATTTGTTAGAATATCTATTTGAAATTATTTTTATTTGAAAAAAAAAGTCAATAATTGTTTGATCAATATTTTATTTATGGAAATATTATTTGATATTCTTATTAATATATTATCCATATTGTATAATGTCGAATGAATATTTTTTTAATTGAAATAATAGGTAAAATTAATCAAATAGAAGTTTTATTCGTCAATGAATTTCTTCAAATGTTATTTAATAGAAACAATAAATAAATCGATTCTTCATTGTATTCTTTTAAATATGAGCTTCTCGATAAACTTGTCAATCAGAAATTTATCAGATAAAAATGACAATACATAAGATAATACAAAAGGTTTTCCGCTTGATCAAGGGGTTAGAGCTGGCACCCAGCACCTGTTCGGTGTTTTTCAATGCTGAAAGCCGAATATTACCCCTTTGTCAAAATCACATTTGCATAGTGGAAATTTTGATCAATTACTAAATGATAGATCAATGCCTCCTATTGGTTTCCAACCTAGATGAATTATTGATGAACGATGATATTTATCAATAAATGCCAATGCTGATTGAATATATTTTCATGACATAAACTTTCGTTTTTCTATATTAATTTGTTGAGCTAATTCATTAACAGCTAAATTATTGAGATCAAACATTGAAAATGAAAAACAGATAGAAAAAGTACAATTTCCAGAATAATTCTCATTTGTATTCAGTAATAATCTTCGTCCACCTATTGCCATACCAACTTTCATTATGGTTTGCAAAGGTATTTGACGAATTCGATTGATTATTTTTGTTAATCATTCAACAAGAATATCATTCATTGAGAGATTTTTATCTTTAATTTGAAGGTTATCAAATAAATATTCTTTTATATAACGTTTAATAATTGTTTTGGATGAAAATGATTTTGATGAAGAAAAATAAGTAGTGATCTATTTGTTGGTAACAAACCATATGGAAATAAATTTTCAATAGAATAATTATTATCAAGGTATTTGAATATACTTTCAGTTATTCTTGATTCATTTGAAAAAACTTTTTCGTTTTTGTTCATTTTCACATTTAATAATACATTCATTTAATGAACTATTTTCTTCATGAATAATTGTTTGAAATGCTTGTGGACAATATAAATGAAGACGTTCATTAAAAGAGTTTCCAATATTAGAAATTGAATAATCATAAATAAGTAATGCACGAATATCAGCACGTCTCATAAGAATATTAGATAATGAAAGATGATCTTTATTTCCTAAACTTGATGATATATTTTTAAATTTTCGTTAAAATGTAAGTATGTCTGTTCTTTTCTTATCTTTATACCAATAAATCATAGATATTCACCTATCTCCAAAAACAATTGTAGTTAATATGAAAAGATCAAGTATTACCTTAGCTGATATCGATGAATACAAAGAGATAGTACAAGATACAAGTACATAAGGAAAGAATTGATTTATTTAATTTCTATACCTTTTATTGTTCTGTATAATCATGCGAAAACTATTTCTTGATTATCTTCTTTATTTCAATTCTTTTCTTCTATTGATTTTTTGACAGAAGAAGGATAGAATAAGCTGAGTACAAAGTAAAATACGAAGTAAAAGGGAAGAAAGGTACATATAACGAGAAGAAATAGTAAGAAAAATCAAAAATCATTACAAATATAGAAATTATGTATCAGGTTCCAGAGTGATTATTGTATTGAATTGTATTGTACTGGTTCAGATGAACTATGTATTTGATTCGCGATTTCAGATTGAAACTTATCCGTAGATAATTGTGGAATAGAAGAAGTTGTTGCTATTGGATTCATAGGATTTTTTGGACATAATGGAGGACATTCTATATGTAACTAAAACAAAGGATACATTAGTAAACTATTTGACAGTATAGTAATACATAAAGAACTAATTAGAATATAATCACTTACTATAGGTTTTGAATCATCATTAAATTCTATATTCCATATCAAATCATTTGTTGTTTGAGAAGTATTTGTTTGACTTGAAAATTCTTTTACCAATGATTTTATGCTTCCATGTATATTTTCCACTTTATAATTGTAATAGGGATAGATAGAATATTTCAGCATGGGCCTAAATAAGATAATTAAGTCATCTATATATCATTGTAAAATAGAAGAAAAGAAATGAAAAATGAAATGCTTTCTAAATATAATTTCTAAATGATGAGATTGTTGTTAGCATGAGAATATAAAATTCTTCTCTGATACGATAATTTATGAAAAAGAAAGAAAGCAGCTAGTTTTTTTTTTCATATGATAAATCTTATTGATCGCCTTTTGGTTCATGTTCTATTAACAGAAAGTTTCATCGTTTAAAACTTTCGTATATAAATAGTCAATAATTTTAAAAAAACATAAACTTACAAAAATATTAAATTCACTAATATAAATATGCTTATCAAGACATATCCAAAGTCACCTATATCTGTTAAGAAAAAAACACTCAATGCCAATAATACTAGGTAAACAGCACCAAATAGTATTATAGAAATCATATATAAATATTTATTTGTCATTAGTTGTTTTAGTTGTGGATTTATTATCGATAATAAATATAAATAATCTTCATGTGTTACATAATTATTTAATGAATTTGTATAAAAAGTATTAACATTAAATGTACCATTACTATCACTTTTAACTAAAGAACAATTTTAAAAAATCATTTGATACGAAGGCACAACTGACAGACACTTACTTGCTAATGATTTTTCATGAAATTGAAGATTAAATTTACCACTGTCTTTGTATACAATTGTATTTATATACCAGTTACCTTCAAATTGATTATTTTCTTCATTCCACATTAACTCAATTTTGACTGGATGTCCTGAGTTTTCTTTGGTATTACTAGTATTTGATTCATATTCTTTTTTCAAAACAATTCGATTTGTTTTAGTTGAATAAAATCCATTAATACTAAATACTCCATTATCATCTGATCCTGTTCCTTTTATTTTCATTGCTTGAGAATTGAATAAAAGTGAAAATTGATGAGGCCCATGCCATGTTTCATACTGGAAATATTGGCTTGACCAAACACCTGATTGAAAAATATTGATATAGCATGTTTCTTGTGTATAAATGTTGCCATCTGTTGAATTCAAGAATTCTTTTTCATCGATTTTTATTTCCTCTGTGTGGTTGTCTGATTCACATCTCAGGTTGCATATAAGAAAGATCAACATCATCATAATACATGGTATTCCAACTAAGAAGATAACAATAAGTATTGCCCAATCTAAACAGTCATCAGTATCACATGATTTACTTTCCGTTTGATGACTGTCACTATATCCAGCACCACTATATCCAGCACCGCTATATCGAGCACCACCCTATCGGGCACCACCTATCAGCAGAAAATATATCCCAATGGGTCAACGTGATACAATTTCGAAAATATTTTTAAAATTTGTCAATGGTTATAAAGTAACAAAAGTTCAAATAAAAAAGTAAATAAATTTACCTCCAATAGAACCACGACCACCACCACCACCACGTCCACCTTTACAATCAATAAAAGTACCAACACAAACAACGAGTAGAAGTATGTGACAAATGAATCGCATTGAACTATAAACAAAATACATTGATTATTTATATGTGAAATGCAATATTTGGTTATTTAGTCAATATAAAAAATGCAGAATCCAGAGTGTATAGATATAACGATGAATTAGGTTATACTTATATTCTATTAAAGATCTTCACTATTATCAATGTGAATAATTATTCATGATTAAAGGACTTTAGAGAAACTTAATTCAAAAGATTTTTTTACCTTTTTATTGGAATATTTTAAAGATAGTGTTGTTGTTGTTGTCTAGACTTTGTTTTTGTAATTTCCTTCATCTCTTATATACAATGTGTAACAGAGAGAGAAAGAGAATATGTGGGTGAGAAAATTGTAATTATTATAAACAGATATTCCTCATAGGTGGATGGAATACTGTACTAATACACTGTACGTATATATGAATGATTGATTAAAATCTTATATGAATGATTGATTGTAGTACCCACATTCTGACAGAATAAATAATGAATAGAAATAGAACAGAACAAAAAATGATCATAAATCATAGAAGTTCTTTTCTTCTCTGTGCTTCATACATGTACATATAGATATCTTCCGTTTAGCTCGACATTCTCTTTCTCAGGATGTCTATATATATGGTGTCGAGTCTATGAGCGACGATATAACCTTCCAACTATACCTTCCCTAATGTCTTTATTAAAAATTTTATTAGAAATTAATTTTAGATAATGCATAACAGAAAAGTATCGTTAATTATGTTCAAAAATATTGTTGGTAAAAAATCTCAAAAAACGTTTTTTATTCCTATAAAACTCGATAGGAAAGTAACAATAAGTACCGACTCGACGCTAATTGCTCCATTTTTTAGTCGAGTAGCAATAGTATTACATTGAGAACCAGCCTGGTTGATAACAGAAATTACTTGACTATCTTCACTTAACGAAAAATTAACAGGAAATACGCCGATCAAACGATATGGTAGTGTGAAGTCTTTTGGCATATCAAAAGTTGTATACAAAACTGCCTTTCCTGCACACACACCGATTCCATCGGTATTTCCAATCATTCGTAATTTTGTTCTATTTTCAAGTGTATCAGTGGTTATATAGTCAAAAAGACAACAACACCTTAATTTATCACATTTTGTATCGGTATTCCAAGTGCCAAGCCAGTTTGGAGAAACTCGTAGAGAAACATTCTCATCAACTGTGTCTATTGAGTATATAGAACAGTTTTATTAATTAAAAATATTATAATATATTTTTTACATACTTGCATTTATAATCTTTATCAAAATACTGATACTTATTAAAATATACCATATTTTCTTCATCATTTCAAACTATATGCAACTGGTCTAAGAATAAACGATGATGCTTTGTGGCAAGTTTTAACATATTACTAAATTTTTATCTAACTTGCACACGTTCTCTTTCTGTCATAAAACTTAAAATAGTTAAAAAAAACGATTATTTTGCTTCTACATATAGAAGACGTGATATTTTAGTGAATTCTCTATGTATACAGCGCTTACGTTTAGTGTATTATTTATCGTGTGTTCGTTCTTTCTTTTTTTTCTCAACACACACTTTATATAAAATCAACAAGTTCATGTTTGAAGAAATAAAACGTTGAAATATGGCATTCAATATCACATTATTCGTTACCCTTTAAAGCTGTCTTGTGTCGTTGAGGAATTATATGTGAATATAGATCTGAGCTAAAACAAAAGATACTCATATCGACGTTTGATTCAATCCGATTCGTTTTGATTTCTAGCATGTATGAATCGCTATCGCTATCTACTATTTTTCTATATATTAATCTAAATCGAATTCTTTGTTTTTATTTAGGAATTTTTATTCTTTATAAATAATATTTTGGCTTCATTAGTCGTTAATTCATTCAATGAGAAAATCTCATTACGTGCATTGAAACAACTTCATCGTTTAACAACAATTGATTTATATCGTCGATCATTAGGTGATGTTTTATCCGATGTAATTAATAATTATATTTATTTACATCGAAAAACTAGTCTTATTCTTGATAAACTTGTAACAAATGGTGAAATTGAAATCTTTTTTTTATGATTATCTTGAAGGATCATGTTAACGATCTGTATCTTGAATGATTAAATAAATAACAACTGATCAATGGAAACGACAATTATTAACAACAATTGAGTTCGTTCTTAAACAAAATAAGTAAAACAATTCAATGTGAAGGTAAATTAATTTTTCAATATTTTACTATTAAATTCGAATTATTAGCTTTTGTCGTTTTTCTATAAAATACATTAATCAATTCTCAATCTTCTATTAATATAGCTCTAGCAATGCTATAAGAAATGAAGTGAAGAAACAAATGATGGTCATCAGCATTTTGTATCAATGTTTTTGAGCATTGATAAATATAACGGTGAGAATCTTCCATTTGGATTACGGCCTATTCTAGTGATCACCTTGCTCTGCTTCAAAGACAAATGCCTAGCCACCGAAGTATGCTGTAGGATCCAAGTGGTCTCCACCACTCGATTGATCTTAACATTCGTTTTCATATCCAGGTCGAACAGTCCTGCCCGGAAACGGTCGGTTCCAGACAATTCTGGAGATTTCATGGAGTACTGCTTCAGGAACCATCGATCTGGGCATTGGTGATGCAGCGTGTACTGATGCTTCATGCTCCGCTTCAAAAAGCAGAGCAAAGCCACCAAAGAATGATATTGGACCCAACTAGCCTTCACCGTTCGATCCTGTTTCACTTTCATTGTCATCAACAACTGCCATACTTAAATAAAAATAAAAATAAATTCAAAACAAAAATTTGTTGTTTTTGTACCTTTAATTAACGATCTGTATCTCGAATGATTAAACAAATAACAGCTGATCAATGGAAACAACAATTATTAACAACAATTGAATTTGTTCTTAAACAAAATAAGTAAAACAATTCAATATGAAGGTAAATTGATTTTTCAATATTTTGAAAACATATGAAAATGTCAGATATGATCTTTGAATTTTGTTTATTTAGATATTCCATTAATTCAACATAATAAATCAACAAAAGTTGAAATTAAATTAACAAAAAAGCTTTTAGGCGTTAACCTATATGATGATGATAATGATGAGAAAGAAAATTTCAATATAATTACAAAATGTTTTAACGAAAATCTTTATGGTGTTTTTTTAACAGCAACTATTTATTGATCGATCTTTATTTGATCCATTCTTTGCATATGTTAATCAAAATGGATTTAAACAATTTAATTGTAATCAATATCAATATGATATTCCATTTTTACTCAATGCTTGGTGAAAATTTATCACACAATGGTTAAAACTTGATTATCCAAATCGCCGACAATATATTCAACAAATAAATGTTGATCAATTCAATAATAATGATTAAGGAGCTTCTTTTTTTCTTTACTTGTTTATTCATAATGTTGAACTAGATGTTTTTTCTTATGATTTTATTCTTTTTATTTGAACTGTTAATATTTACAAGTAACGCTCGTCTGCGGACTCGCTCAGCTCTTTCTCGTAGAACTCGTATACTACAATACTAAACTTTTTGATTATACAGTTTGGAAAAATTAACACCAGATTTGTGTTCTTCCACCCTACTTACCCTTCGGTCACCCTTTATGAAATTTTTTTTTTATAAAAACTGGTTCTCTCCCTAAAAAAGTGATCCATAAAATTATTTTATAAGACTAACATCAGATTCGAAGTCTCCGCATCGAAATGGCCCAAAAATGTCTTTTCTAAAAAATCGATTCTCGAATTACCCTCTGGTAAAACTTTCTTGGAACTATCTTTAAGATTAATAATATTAATTAACTATTAATCGATTTTTAACTAAAATTAACATCAAACTCGAATTCTTGGCAGTCGATTACCCTTCGGTTAAAATTCTTTCAAAAACTAATAATATCAATTATTAACTGATTATTAACTAATTAATTTTAATAAATCAGTCTCAGGTTCGAGTTCTCCATACTCGATTACCCTTTGGTCCAACTTTTCTGAAAATATTTCAAAAACTAGTAATCTCAATTATTAACTAATTATTAATTGATTGTTAACTGAAAATAACCGCAGATTCGGATTCTCCACACTCGATTACCCTCTGGCCGAACTTTACTCGAACATATAATAATACTAATGATTAACTGATTATTAACTAATTATTAACTAGTTCATTTTAATAAAATAACCTCAGATTCAAGTTCCCCGCCCTCGATTACCCCCCCCCCCCCCCCCGCAGTCAAAGTTTTCCGCAAGTATCTGAAACATTAAATTTCAATGTTTTTTTGACCCTGCGGACATACAATCAAGCAAGCAAACAATTTATGATTACTGGACTCTTCTCTACGAGAAAGAGAATAATATAGAAATAAACTATTGCGTATGCAAGATGTACATGATAATCGTTCACTTTCAAGATGAGTTGATAAGATTCGAGAGAATGCATTAAATTCACAAAGAGATAAATGACTTTACTATATTAATTGAACTTTGCGTTCTAAACTAAAATTTTATTTTATATTTTAATAGTTTTATCACTTCTTAACTATTCTAAAAGGTATCATTCATAGTCAATCGTACAGTCATTTTTCTAATATTTTACTATTAAATTCGAATTATTAGCTTTTGTCGTTTTTCTATAAAATACATTAATCAATTCTCAATCTTCTATTAATAAATCTCTAGCAGTTCGAAAAACAACGAAGCAAATAAGACGATGGAATTTTTTTTTTATTTCTTACAAAAATCAAACGCGTGATCGAAGAAAAGAATGGTATGCATCACTATGTCGTTGCAATTTTTTTAGGAATGATACAAAATTGCGCGGAAAATCTTCTTTTTTGATTACGGCACATTTCAACGCTGATGTAGCTCTGACAGATGCGTCGTGATTAGTTTCGAACAGAAGAGCTAAGCCACCAAAGAATGACATTGGACCCAACTGGCCTTCACCACTCGATTGATCCTAACATTCGTTTTCGTATCCAGGTCGAACAGTCCTGCCCGGAAACGGTCGGTTCCAGACAATTCTGGAGATTTTATGGAGTACTGCGTCAAGAACCATCGACCTGGGCATTGGTGATGCAGCTTGTACTGATGCTTCATGCTCTGTCTCAAAGAGCAGAACAAAGCCACCAAAGGATGACATTGGATCCAACTGGCCTTGACCATTCGATCCTGTTTCACTTTCATTGTCATTAACAACTGGCATACCTAAACAAAAATAAAAATAAATTCAAAACAAAAATTTGTTGTTTTTGTACCGTTAATAATTATATAAAACATAGATCTTGGATTGTTTTTTTCAATGATAACATCGTTTTCACTAAAGGTGGTTATCGATATACTCCATATTAACTGGTCTCTATCACCAGCATTCGGATTTTGGAAAATTTGTATCGAGTTAATTAACGTTCTATATTTCTCCATATTCTAAATGACAAAAAAACTCGTTAAACAATCGAAAAACGTTTTCTACCTACAGCTGTCATCGATGAAAACTCTTGATTATATGTTTCATCATCATGATCATAACTAAAATCTTCAACTAAATTTAAACTTTCTAAATTAAAGAGAAATATTTAATTGTAATATATATACATTCTTACCGCTGATTATTTTGTTTATCACTAGTAGAATTGGTTTTAAATATGTCGAAGATAAAAGATAATTTCCTCTCTCGTGTTCGAGTTAGTACGATGATTGATTCCGAAAGGTGTAAAGAATGGAAAAACGTGTCGATCGAAATGAATAAAACAGAAGAAAATAAATGTGAAGAAATCTATAATATAGATAGATAGTTAAAACAAAGTAGACAACATGTCAGTCATTTAAATAGAAATCAGTTGGTCATATAATCCAGCAACTGAACTTTTGTGAAATAAAGTTTTGTTTCAAATTACAGTTCTTGAACAGTTCTTGAATTTTTAGGTAAAAGATATGGTAATAATCTTGTACCTCTTAGGTCTTATCGTGTATATGCATACAGCGAAAAAAAAGAAAAACCCAATCTTACCTGAAGATGGCCAATGATGAGGATGGTGAGTTACGTAGTCTATTTATGAAAACAAATAAACAAAAGCAAAGGAAAAATAACAATAGAAGAGAGGGGAGATATATAGGGATAGCTAGATGGGAAACGCAAATGATACTTATAAAAGCAAAAGATCAACTGAAATGTGTTCAAATACACTGAAGAAAGATAAAAAGTGAGAAAATATGTATAAACAGAGAGGGAAAAGGAGCAGAACCAAAAAAAACCTGATGTGCGAAAGTTATGAAGACATCGGGAGGGGAGGGGTATATGGACGCTTGATCATGAACAGTGATTAAGTAAGTTACCGATAACTTAGTGACATCTGTTATCACTAGCAATGTTAAGATGGATCACTTCTCACAACATAAAGCAAAATAAGTACTAGTATTAGATATTATTTTTAGAAATAATAAATAAGAAAGGTAACACTGATCAAATGAATATGAATCATTTGTATTGATAACGTATATTTTTAAATGTTTTTATTTTCCTTTTTTATTATTTTTATTTTTAGTTATGAATGTCATTTATATAGCTACATGGATTGTATGTTTTAAGTCATTTATTGATTTCCATAAGGGTCTGCTAGTTAAAATACTCTATTTGATCACTCATTTTTTCCAATCGCTTTTGAAACCTGGGGTTGAAACATCTCAATAGAAAAACGAGAATGGAATGTGAAACATTAACTTTATTTGATCGTCATAAGAATAAATTATAAATATACTTTTTTTTTATGTAATTGATAACACGTTTTTTTTCTGTTGTGCGTTCATTTCATCACTTCCAATGTCTCGAATTTTATCTTTTTCTATTCTATGTAAATAAAAAAGATCAATTAAAATGATAGACAAAAAGCGTAGGTATAATGACTATATACCCTCTAGCAATTCATCATATTTTATTGACAATTGACATAAATTTATTTTTTATATATGATATTTATATATTATGGACGATATTATTTCTCGAACACCGATTTCAAATGATAATATCAGTTCAATATCTGTTGAACTTGATGATCGTATCTCTTTCACTGAAAAAAGCACAGGTAGTACGTCAATCAGTAAAACATCTATTAATGTTGTTCATGTACCAAAAACTATTGATTATAAAGCAAGACAAATTTTAATTCGTAAACTTGACTTACGTTTATTACCGATTCTTTCGTATGTTATTGAAAATATTGAAAATAAAAATGAATTTATATTTTAGAATTATCTATTTTTTATCTTATCTTGATCGATCAAATATTGCCAATGCAAAAATAGGTGGTATTGAACATGATATTCATCTAACTTCCGTACAATATCAATGGTCTTTATCAATATTCTTTTTTGGTTATGTACTCTTCGAAGTTCCATCAAATATAATTCTTAGACGATGGAGACCATCTCGATGGATTTGTCTGATCATGTTAATTTGGGGTTTATATTTATTTTAAAGTTCTTTTCATATTTCTAATCATTATAAATTATTTTTTCTAGGAACAATAGCAGTATGTATGGCTGCTATTTCAAATTTTACCGGACTTCTTATTTGTCGTTTTCTACTTGGCGTTTTCGAAGCTGGTCTTTTTCCAGGTATTATCTATTTTATGAGTCTTTGGTATCCAAGAAAAATGCAAGCAATTCGACTTGGGTTCTTTTGGTCATTTTCAGCATTAGCAGGTGCATTTGGTGGTTTAATAGCGTATGGTATTCGTCAAATAAAATCATCAAAAATTGCTCATTGGCAATTGATTTTCATTGTATTTTTATTTGAAATTTCATGATTTTTTTGTATGTATATATATTTGAATTTAGATCGAAGGATTTCCTACTATTCTAATGGCTATATGTTGTTGGTTTTTCTTACCTGATTCACATGAACAAGCACGATTTTTAACTGTTGAACAACGTCAACTTGGAATTGAACTTTTAGCTGAAGATTCTGGTGCATCTCATAATCATTCATTTTCTTGGTCACAAGTGAAGTCTATTTATACTGATTGGAAGACTTATGCATATGCAATTATTTATATAACAGGCACAACAGCATTACAAGGTGTAACACTTTTTTTACCATCAATTATTGTTGGATTAGGAAAATGGACACCAGTTCAATCACAATTAATGACTCTTCCACCTTATGCAATTGCATTTCTTGTGACACTTTTACTTTCTCGTAGTTCGGATCAGTAAAAATTGTTTATTTCTGATTTTCTTTAATAATTATTTATTTTCATAGTTTTATTGAACGTTCATTTCATCTTATCTTTACAAATCTTTTATCAATCTCTGGTTTTCTAATTCTTATGTTTGTCGATCGAAATCGATCTAGTATTCTCTATTTTGGTATTATTCTTTTAACATCAGGTGTCTATGCTAATGTTAGTTTGAAAATTGCATGGTTTAATAATAATTTGTAAGTTAAATTAATTTGATTTAGTTTTTTAATCATTGTTATCATATAGTGCTTCACTTACTCGACGTGCTGTTGCATCAGCTACTATTGTCTCGATCGGAACGATAGGAGGTGCCGTTGCAGGTCAAATCTATCAAGATAAACAAAAACCACAATATTTCTTAGGAAATACTATTGCACTTTCTTGTATTGTAGTACAAACGATACTTGTATTATTACTTCGATTTATTTTTATCTATGAAAATCGTCGTCGAGAAAGATTTACCATCGAACAAAGTCAAAGACAAATTCAGCGATATGGTGGAAGTGATTTAGTTGGAGATCGTCATCCAGACTTTCGTTATACTTTATAAGAAAATGTTTATGCAAGTTAACTCTAATAACATCATGAACTTCTTTCATTCTTCCTAATTCAATATAATCTAAACTCATTTTTTCAAAAAAAAAAGAATATTTTTTTATTTCAATAAACAATCAAATCATTTCCATTGTATATATTCATTTAGTTCATGTATTTATTCTAGTCCCTGTATTTAAACATTTGAATCATATTATAACTATTATGCTACAAAAATGAAAATTAATCAGAACCTGTTAGTATTTTAAAGAATATAAAATACAAATTTCGATCATTGTAAATAAAACAAAATTTATTTTTTTGTAAATCGTTGAATAATTAATCAATAATTGTGCAATTAACTTGACCATGATTGATTATTTGACAAAGATCATATACTGCCATGAGACGTTCATCATCGTCGAATCTAATAGTAAATATAAAACTCTTAAATTTTCTACTAAACATCGAAATTTAACATACTTAGCAGTAACTATAATTTCTTGTTCATTGGTTGTTTCTGATTTAGCGACATTTACACCTGCAGCACCCAATTTTACTAAAACTTCACTAAGTTGTACACTGAGTTCTACAGAAAAAAATTAATCTAAAGATTTATGATCAAATCAAAATGTATTACCTATTGATTTAACAATAAATTTTAATTTAGATTTATTTGAATCTTCAGACATTTCAATCATTTCTGCATCGAGAAATATAGATTCATCCTAGAAATCAATAAAAAGAAATTATTCTTAATTAAATATTTTTTTTCCATTGTGAATTCACTGTATCGTTCGTGTTTGTATTTGTTATACATTGATAATCATCAAAACCAAAAAGATAATCAAGAAAACTTTCTGTATGTTGATAAAGATTATTAAATTTTTCATATGGAATCTGAAAAAGTATATTTAATTTTGATGACATATTTTTCCAAAAAGATTTATTATGCGAAACAGTTCTTAACCATGCAAACATAAAATCTCGTTGAAGACATTTTCCAATACCAAATATTAATTCATCAATACCGGATTGTGGTTTATTAACATTAAAATCTTCATCAATATATTCAATACTATTAACCATTGTAACCAGAGCAACATTATCATAATAAACAATTCCATCTTCTTTAGTTGATTTAATTTGTGGATGAACATTATTCAATAGTCTACAAAATTCATCTATAACAATTTGTCGATTTCTTCCAGACCACATATTCGTACAAACAAGTGCACAAAATATATTTTTTTTACGACATTCATTAATTATCCAAACAAGATGATTTAATAAAGCAAATGAACCAGGTGAAGCACAATATATCATACATATTGGATGTATTTTTTCAATTAATGAATCCATATAATTATGTATATCATCTTCATTCCATGATTCAATTCCAGGTGTATCCCAAAATATTGTTTTATGTGTTGAATTATTGAATGAACTTTCAAATGAATATTGTTCAATAGTTTTTGTATCAGAATTTAAACTTTGATTAGAATTACTAAGATTTTCTTGACATATTGCATTTATAAGAGTACTTTTACCAACACGTGATGAACCACAAAGAAGAATATTTGATTCACGAACATTATGAGACATTAGTTATTCTAAATCTAAAAAACGTTTCAATGTTACTTAACTAAATCATGAAAAATTGTTTATTCATAGATGCTTAAACAAAGGAAATTATTTTCTACTTAAAAGCAGCTCTAATAATAAATGGAATTAAAGCTTTTGCAATATCTTTTCCATGATTTTGAAGTACTTCTTCTGCAATTGGCCGAGCAATTTTGTATACTTCTGCTAGTTGATTAGCCATTGCCGACCAAAATGATTCATTATCGGCAATTGTATGACACCATGCAATAAGTTTATCACCTTTTAACGAACTTGTTATACCAAAAAGAAGTTCATTAATACCTTCAACTTCTTTTTCTATTCCGCGATCTTCATCTTCAAATGGAATACTATTCACTGTTGCACAAAGAGCAGCATCTCCATAATATTTAACATTATTTTCATTTTTTGTCATTGGTTGATATCGAGAAAGAAGAGAATGAAAATCTTTTAATAGTTGTTCACGACTTTGTTTACCTCCACTATATTTATTTGTACAAACCAATGCACAATAAATATTTGATTTAATAGAACTTTCAATAATCCATTCGAGTTGATCAAGACGAGCAAATGAACCAGGTGATGCACAATAAATTATACAAACAGGGTTACTTTTCAACATTATTTTTGAAATATGTTCTTGAACATGTTCTTTTGTCCATGATTCAATTCCTGGTGTATCCCATATTGTTATAGAATATTGCTTTTCATTTGAATTAGAAGCTTCATTATATGAAATATAATCTCTATTTAATATATACTTTTCCATTTGATCAGTTTTTGAAGATAGACTATTACTTGTTTTTGCTAATTCTTTTCCACATAAAGCATTAATAAGTGTACTCTTACCAACACGAGCTGAACCACAAACAACTATATTCGACTCGTTAGTCATAATTAAATCTTATCTAGAAAGAGAAAAAAATCAATATTTTATTTTATTTTTGAAATTTATTAAATAAATATAAAATCATATTCATTGCAATTTCTTGTCCAGGTATAATACCCGTAGGATTAAGGTTTGGTGTATGTAATGAAAAAAATCCACCAACTTTTTGACTCATTTTTTCCCAAAAACTTCGACGATAAAGTACAGCATTACACCATCCAAGTAATTTTTCGTGATCAAGTTCATTCATAATACAATGAATAAGTTCATCAACACCTTGAACTGGTTTTATTTCCGATGATAAATCTGGATCATCATATTCAGTTGAATTAACCATTGTACAAAGAGCACCATTACCAAAAAGTGTTACTTTATGAGGTATTCTAGTATGTTCTTGTTGAAATAATTTTTCAATAGGTTCACCAAATCTTAAAAGTTCTTCTTTAAATTCCTGAATAACTTGTTTTCGAGCTGGACTTGCCCACATATTTGTACAAACAAGTGCACAAAAGATTTGTTTTGTTTGACAATATTCAAGAACTGGTCGAAGTTGTTTAAGATCAGCAAATGCACCAGGTGATGCACAAAAAATAAGACAAACAGGATCTTTTTCTGCAATAAATTTTAACATTGTTGATTGACCCTGTTCATTAGTCCATGATTCAATACCAGGTGTATCATAAAAATTAATTCGAAATGGTTTAATACCAGGAGTTCGTTGTTGATTATCTTCTAGCGTATAACATTGGACTTCTGTAGTACATGAATTAAGACTAGGACTTGTTTTTGCTTTTATTTCCCCATTACTTAATGCATTAATCAATTGACTTTTTCCAACACGTGGTGAACCAGTTAAAATAATATTAAATTGAACTTTATCTGTTACATGATTTACTTCAGGTAGATAATAATCTCTACATAATTCATCTTGAACAACAGCTGTTTTTTTATGTAAAAGTGATAAAGAATTTTCTTTGCTTAATGATTTACCACTTGTTGCATTAGTTAATATTCTATCTGAATGTTTCTCATTCGATTTTTCATACGTATTAGAATTGATCAGAGGACTAAACATCACAAAAGAATCAATGTTTTTACTATAATAAAGAAGAATTTACTGTGCATAGTTTAATTCACGATGACTTTGATCTTGAGAACAGTCCAACTAAAATATTAAAAGATGCGTTTAAATATGAAACAATTAACAATAATCTTGACTACCGAATGAATATAATATAAAGATATTTGTATTTGTTCGGTACAAAACTGACATGGAATAAATATATCATCATCCATTTGTGTATTATTATTAGTAAATAATTGTTCTAGAAATAAAATAGTAAAATAATAATTAAAAATTGATGCTAACCTTCAGAATTTTGTTCTTGTTCAACAGAGTTCGAATTTCCAACATGTCTATATTTAATATCTTTTTCAGTGAAAATATTTTCATCTTCATCCAAATCAGTACAATTGTTGTCCAAGTGATAATTATAAATTGCGCGTCGAATATAGTTTTGACATCTGGAACATTTTATTGTTTTATTACCACACTGATTCAAATGATAAGTCATATTATATGATGGTACATTTTCATTACATAATTCACAAACGAAACATCGACCTTGGCAATTTTTCTAAATGAAAAATTTCTCATAAAAGGATAACAATCTCAATATATCGTTACTTTATGATCATCTAAATCGATTTGATTATTAAATTGTTTACTACAATTGCATCTATACATCGATTTTGTATTATCGTTGGTTAAACAAATATATAATAAAATATCTAGAAATGCAGACTATTCAATAGAAATAAAGAAAGAGAATAAAATAATGATACTACTTAACCGCAAAAAGACTTCCATATTTTGAGTGTTAATCATGTTTATTTAATGCGAAGCATCACCTTCTTCCTTTTATGTCTACTTAGAGTAATTAAAAGTCACTAAATTTTTGCGTATATACTCACCTTTTATACGGATGTTCAATATGAACCTAGGCGTGACGAACAATTTCCAATTAAAGTTTTAAATCACTTTTCTGACAAAAAAATGTGCTTTATTTACCTTTTTATTATGCTATTGGAGACTCTCTTCAAAATCTTAGACTAAATTCTGTCCCATCAAGAGAAAAAGTAAGTTGACTATCGTCTTCATCAACGAGAATCTGTTTATAAATGTTATAAAATTCCAGTCATTCTTTTTATCACATCATTCTTTGTTCCTTTCCACGTGGCAAACAGACTAAAAACAGAACAATAAAAGATAAGACACAGACATAGTTTTTGTTGCTTTCTGTTATTAAAAAGAGTAATTCTATTATCTTAACATATATAGATCTAACTAATAATATGTCTCTACTCTTAACCCATACCCTCTCGGCGAAGTGTAGAGAATACCTGATTCCCGGATTGTAGGCAAAGGTGACTGGAGTTTTTATTATATTGTTGTTGAAAGAGTGCATGTAATGGTAAACAAAATGAATGGTCTAAATTGATAAGAACTCTTTGTTTTCTTTCCAACTAATAATAAAGGGGTGGGTGTGGGTGTGGATACGACATTCACCTAGCACCCACACCCATTTAACAGACATTCTCGAGAGAAGCTCAAGAAAAACTTTAATCACCATGTCTGAGAGTATCAAATTACTCACTGAAGTAAAGAGAATTGAATAAATTAATGACATCTATTCTAAATCTCATTTTGTTTTTCAATGAAAAGTACAATATTATCTGTATCTCAATTATTACTATTAAAGACAAAAGATCAATAAAATTCTCATAATTCATCTTCTTTAAAGAGACTTAGTTTTCATTCAATGTTAATGAATATTAAATTATTTTCATGATGAAGATCTCTTATCTATTGAAAAAAGATTTTCTTCATTCTTTTACTGCCTACCGATTTTTATTGACATTGACTCATATTGTTTTACATAAATAAATACACATACAAAATGAAAATAAACATTCATTTCTTTTTCAAATTTTTCAACAAATGGCAACAGCAAACATTAGAGTACAATGTTCTATCTGTAATAAAGAAAATACGACATATATTTGTCGTGGATGTTCAAAAGATTTTTGTTTTCAACATTTAACAGAACATCGACAAATTCTTCATAGACAATTAGATGAAATTATTAATGATCATGATCAATTTCAACAAACAGTTATTCAACAAAAACAAAATCCGTTAAATTCTCCTTTAATTCAACAAATTAATGAATGGGAAAAAAATTCAATTGAGAAAATTCAACAAACAGCAGAAGAATGTCGAGAAACAGCGATGAATTTGACACAAACGTTGATCAATGATGTCGAAAAAAAGTTTATTGAATTATCTAAGAAATTAAAAGGAATTCGTGAAGAAAATGAATTTAATGAAATTGATTTAAATAATTTTCAATTAAAATTAACACGAATTATAGAAGAACTTCTCACACCAGCAAATATTTCGATTGAAGGAGATTCACAAGAATTTATCAAGAAAATTTCAGTTACTTCATCGTTCGGTATGTTTATTCAATTTAATTATTTCATTTCGAAAAAAGAGAAAACGAAGTTTAAGCATAATATCTTTTGCAGTTTTTCGTATTACAAATTAACTTTATCATCGAGATTTATTAATGATGTCTCATTACGGAATTTGATTAATTGAAGATTTAGAGGGTGGGCTTTTTTGATTTAAAAGTAATAAAAAAGATTTTAAATAAAAAGAAAATCTTTCATTTTAGAAGAAATTCAAACAAAAAAGAATCAGTTTCAACAATTTGCAATTACCATTGCTGGAGGAAATAGATATGGACAGGAATTAGATCAACTCAATCGTCCTGAAGGGATCTTTATTGACAATGATAAATCAATTTATATTGCTGATTATGGGGATCACCGTATTGTTAAATGGAAATTGAATTCAAATCAAGGTCAAATCATTGTAGGTGAGAATGGAAGAGGAAATAAAAATAATCAATTGAACTATCCAGCAGATATAATTTTTGATAAAGGAAATAATTCTTTTATTATTTCTGATCGTGGAAACAACCGAGTAGTTCGATATTTTGATAATAATCAAACAAATCACCAAATTATTATTTCAAATATTAATTGTTGGGGTCTAACAATTGATAAAAATGGATTTATTTATGTTTCTGATTATGCAAATAATGAAGTAAGACGATGGAAACAAGGAGATGAAGAAGGTGAATTAGTTGCAGGTGGAAACGGTAAAGGAAATCATCTTAATCAATTCAATTATCCTACTTTCATCTTTATCGATGAAGACTATTCTCTTTATATATCAGATCGTGACAATCATCGTGTAGTGAAATGGAGAAAAGATGCAAAAGAAGGAATTATTGTTGCTGGTGGAAATGATCAAGGCAATAGTCTCAAACAACTGTCTCGTCCTCGTGGAGTGATTGTTGATCATTTGGGTCAAATATATGTGGCAGATTTTGGGAATCATCGAATAATGCGTTGGTGCGAAGGAGATACAGAGGGTGAAATTGTTGTTGGTGGGAATGGAATAGGAAATCAACCAAATCAATTAAATGGTCCCGCCGATTTATCATTTGATAACGAAGAAAATCTTTATGTTGCTGATAAAGACAATCATCGAATCCAAAGATATGAAAAAATTTTAGATTAAAAATCTTTTTAATTTAATCTGATGAAATTTCGATTTTTACTTTTGAAAATAAATAAAAAAAACATTAATATTGGGGATGTGGGTGATGTCTTAACTGAGAAGAATTATAATTATTTTGATAGTATTTACTTGAAAAAAATCAATATAGTTCTGCACTATTTAAAGCTGTACTAAAATCAATACGCTCACCAGTAACCAATATTTTTCCATTTGGTAATAAAGATGCACGATGATGTTGTCGTGCATAATTCATGTCACTCATAATTGTCCAAGTTTCTGTTAATGGATCGTATAATTCAACACTTCTATCAGGACTATCACCACAGCCACCAGTAACTAGTACTTTTCCATTTGTTAAAACGGTTGCTGTATGAAAATGTCGTCCATAATTCATATCACTTGTAATAGTCCACTTTTCTGTCACAGGATCATACCACTCAGCACTCTTTAGTTTAGCATTACCGATTCGTCCACCAGTAACTAATACTCTTCCATTTGGTAACAAAGATGCTCTATGTTCATATCGTGCGGAATTCATTTTACCCGAAGTTGTCCAAGTTTCTGTCGATGGATCATATAATTCAGTATTGTCTAAATAACTATTACCACCCAAATAAGTTCCACCATATCCACCAGTCACTAACACTTTTCCATTTGGTAATAAAGATACTGTATGATGGTCTCGTGAATACTTCATCTCACCAGTAATTGTCCAAGTCTCACTTGATGGATCATATAATTCAGAGCTATTTATATAAGTAGTGCCATATCCACCAGAAACTAGTACTTTTCCATTTGTTAATGTAGATGCGATATGATCAGATCGTGCATAATTCATATTACCAACGGCTAACCAAGTTTTTGTTGATAAATCATATAATTCAGCACTAGCTAGACGATTACCATTATATCCGCCAGTAACTAACACTTTTCCATCTATTAATATGGATGCTGTATGTTGACTTCGTGCAACATTCATGTTCCCAGTAATTGTCCAAGTTTCTGTCGATGGATCATATAATTCAGCACTATCTAAAGAACCAATCGTATCCCCACCAGTAACTAATACATGTCCATCTGACAGGACAGTTGTGGTATGATGATGTCGTGCATTATTCATATTACCAGTGTTATTCCATTCTAAACGAAAATATTTTCAATTTATTCTTATAACATTGTAAATTTACTCACTTTTTATTATCGGTGGACAGATTCGTTCATCAGTCATTGTTACCGGATAACAAATTGGATAATCATGACATTGAGGATGTCGGACACAGATCGTATCAGGCTGTTGACATGTATTATTGGAAGAATCACATGTTCGAAGTCTAGAACAAGTTACCCAAAGAAAGCCACAAATACCAGTATCGTTCATAGTATTTGACATATGAAAACAACCGCAACCGTTATTTGCTGAGCATTCATCATATTGTGCGATGCCGTTGCATGTTTTAGATTTTACTGAAACTATCAATAAAAAAAACTAATTATATACTTGAATCTGTAAAATTGAATAGAAATCAAACCTATAACGCTAAAGCACAAAAGAAAATCGACATATATTAGCAGAATAAAAGATGAAAATCAGTATGATCTACCTGAGAAGAACGAAAATGAAATAACGCATGATTGTATATTGAAATGAGATAGTATTGTAAAAACGTTCGTTCTTTTTTATTTCTTTCACACAGGTAGATATTAATACCTATTATTTTAAAATGAAACAATATATCATCGAATGCTTCGATAAGTGGAAACTCGATATCGTTTCGATGCACTTTTTTAATGATAGGATCAAAGACATTGAAAAGTTTAATTTTATAGACTTATATAGATTTCGCAATTGATATTGATGAAGTAGTTCATGCAAGATTCGTATATCTTCAATAGATCTTGAGGGTGAGTGTGGGTGTATCTCATTTATCTCACCCACGCTCACACTATACTCCAACGAGAATCTACATTATTTATCTATCGTTGCCAAACGCATATTTTTTTCTTCTCATCTTGTAATTTATTTACATAAATACGTACAATGAACAAAGAACAAAGATTTGCGTTATATAATATTCAACTTATAAACACAAACGATCATCTTGAAGGGTGTGGATGAGTATGGTTTGAATAGAATATCCGGACCCATACCCTAACTTACTCTATTAAAAACCTATTAAGCTAGAGCAAAAACAGTCATTCATATTTATTCTTTTTATATATTTCTTCAAATTTTTGCATGATTTAGAAGTAATCCCAAGATCAAAACTTTATTTGCAACTGTTTCATAGAACACCTTCTTCGAGAGAGAAAGTGAATGATATTTGTATGAAAATCATAGATCTGGATATATGTGATGGTGAGAATGAATAATTTTGCAAGACATAGTAAGAAAATCATAATACTCTTGAATTAAAAATTATTTAGTTAGAGGAGCGCATGTAAATTCGCTTCAAATTACTGACAGAATAAATTTTATTTTAACCAAAACACAAATACTTCTACCGTCTGCGAGACTTCTTTTCTCTTTTTATTTTCGAGTGCCCTTCTTCTCTGGTGTGTTTGCAACATTCAGACAACACATTTCTTTCTTTCTCAACAGGTCTCATATGAAATGATAGAAACCTTAGAAACCTTCGAAACAGTTGATTTCGCAACCATCGCAAAACAAACGAAAATAACCCACTGACTTTTCTCAGGCAAGGTGATGGTGTGAAGCTACTCGAGACAAAATTAAAACTAAACGTTATCTTTCCACGTGCACAACTTCACCTGTTCTCCTTTTCTTTTTCACAGTAGCTGGGTTTTTTTCCCAAAACGAAGTTAATAAAAGAGAGACAGTTTTTTTCAAATTCTCACTTATTTTCACTTAAGGAGAGTTCAAATTCTACTTTATATTTATTACAAAGATGTCTCGTTATCATCCTTATTCAAGAAATAGTGGAGGAAGACATTACAGCAACAACAATGGCGCAGGCGATCATGCTCCGCATATTAATTTTACTCATGTTGATGGTGATATTAAGGTTGTGCTGAAAAAAGTTATTCAATCAGGTGTAGAACGATCACTTCTTTTAACACCAGAAAAGTTCTTTGAAATTTCACACAAAAGTGATGATATAGTAAAAGCCGGCAAAGCTATGGCTGGTAAGTGTTTCATAAATTATTTGAAATTTACACTTACTAGTTGATAGCAATTATTTTCATTTAACTCAATCAATCTCGAGCCGAATATTCTTTTTCTATTTGTTACAGATTATCATGGAAAAAACAGTGAAACACAACCGCCTGATACTGTTGGACCCTTTAAATTCATTCTTCGTTCTGATTTTAATAATGATAAGTATGAACATATGTATGAATGGGAAGTCCCAAATTCACAACTGAGAGTTAGTATTCGTAATCGTCGAAGTGATGGTAAAAGACCCAAAGACACCCAATTTGTTGTTGAAGTACGTATTTTCGGTTCAAATGGTTTACCAACAGACGATGGAATCATGATGGCATGGCATAACTTTAATGGTGAGTGTACAAGGTTCTGACGTTGTTTAGAATCATACGATTGGAAGGAGTTTCATGTTTTAAAAATGATGAACTTACAATCTAATCGAAACTTTAATTTACTCACATAGGTACCTTTGTTCATAATCGACGAGAGCGCAATAATAGAATCGAAGAAATGCGTCGAAATGGTGTTTTGAACTTACTAACAAATTCAGTCCTAAGTAGTACGACATCAACTTCAGCAACCGTTTATTCATCCTCAACAACAACAACAACTCGAGATTTACCATCATGGACTATCAGTGAAAATCATGCCAATAAAGCGGAGCATTCATGCGTTGTAAGTTATTCACCCTACCTCTTTTCATAGTTTTGACTCGCTGCATAACAGAATGATTGGCATTCTTCAAATACATTAAGGCTCTTTTAAATAAACGTAACTTTTGTTTACAACTTCGTTACAATTAGAGAATAAATTTATTCGTGTTACTTTGAATAGCAAAGGGAAAAGGGTTTAAAGAAGTACCAACCTCCTATTAGTTTCATCATTTACCGTAGATATCTTGTTTAATATTTCAGATCTGTATGGACACATATTCAAAAGGTGAAACTGTCAATGGCTTACCACAATGTACTCATTTTTTTCATTGTAAATGTATTCAAGCATGGCTGGTCGGAAGTAACTCGTGTCCAACATGTCGATCAATAGTTTAAAAACAGTTTTCGTTAGTTTTATTTATATATCACTATACAAGAATAAAACTTTTGTTTCTCACTACTCTAACGGAAGGTGAGTTGAATTAGAAACACATTGTTATAGTGATTCATGGAAAAGATCAGTGTATGAATATTTTATAAAACGAAAATATAGTAGAAAGATCTGTTTTCTACAATTATTTTTTCCCTTTACTAAAAGAAAGGGTTATACACCGGTTAAATTCTAAGCTCGAAATGCTAAAAGTTTGTCTGTTTATCTTAAACTGATAATCATTAGAAAATGGTTGATCAAAGGTTTTTGACGCCGAGGAACTTGAAGATGTAAAAACATTATAACAGTTGTACTGTATGTCAATTTCAAAATACAATCATCATATCAAGTTTTATAGTGCATTAATCATTCTTCTAGGTATTTGTTGATTTAATCCCTATCAATGACAATCAAAATATTTTTATTTTACTTTTCATATACACATGCACAGAAATGCGTATGATTTACAATCATAAGAGTAGAATATTAAATCAAAGATTTTATCGTACTTATTATAATAAAAGCTCAAACGAAATTATGCGACATCTGTATGTCAATATAGTAAAGGAAAGTAAAAGTTAAGCAATAAAATTCGTGATTGTGAAATAACATATGGTTTTTTTTTTGTTTTTGATAAAGAAGATAAAAATATTTGATTTTGAATAGAATGGAAAATGACTATGAAAGTTTACGTCCGTATCCCATCGATATATCACAAGATAAAGTTATCGAAAAAATAGTTTTTGCTAAAAGAAAATTAATACCACAATTAACATCATTTTTATTTACAATTTTAACATATCCATTGAAATTATTAAGTAAATATAAAAATAAAAAACTAGCTGAAAAAAATAAAACTAATGAAGAAATTGATGCAAAAGAAATTCCTCCGATCCATATATCAACTTCAACTTCAACAATGGATTTAAAATTTTATTATATTATTCGTTATGGTAAAATTTGGTTTAAACCAATTGGTGCACATTGTGATTCATCATGGAAATTATTTGGTGATAATGGTTTTATTGATCAATTTCAAACTCCATTAATATCAATAAGTGTTGATGGTGATAATATTCTAGCTGTTGATGAAAATCAAATAATTCATTATGCTAAAAGTAATCAAATCATATGTAAAGTTTCATTTGATTGTCCACAATGGGAAATAATTGAATCACGAGTTAAATGGACACAAAAATGGTTTAATATGGATGGTGTATCACTTGTTGTTAATTTATTTAAAAATCCAATATTAAAATCATTAAAAAATAGTCGAAATATTTGTATGTCACATAAAGGACCTGATACAATGTATTATACAGATATGAAAGGTAAAAAACATCCAGATCCATATGTTGGTGTAACAACAATTTATTGTTTGAATGAAGATGGTACACGAATATTTTTTGCTGATCCATGGTTACAAAATAAATTTGAAAATGAATTAACAACACCTGAAGATGGACAATTTATAGCTGAATCAATGGCAACTAGTGGATCAACTTTATTTCTTATTCAACGAGGAAGAAATGAATTTGGTAAAGAAATTAATAAAATGTATACAAGATTTGCTGATTTTGATTCAATTGGATCAAATCCTGCACTTGCATCAACATACAATCCAAATAATAATGTTCCTCTTATTCGTTATCTTCCAAGTGAAGATTGGATTAGACAACCATATATTAATATTCAAGGTAAAACTCGTTTAACGAAAGATATTTCGATTTATCAAATTGGTTGGGGACAAAACAATAGACAATTAAGAGTTCAAGGAACAGATGCAAATGGTAATTATGGATTTTATTTTAAAAATATTTATGATAAACAATGGAATTTTCAAATAACAAATGATGTAATTATATCAGAGAATGAATTTTTATCTCAATCAATTTCATTTATTGGTTTTGAAAAAGGTTCACAGATATGTTTTGATTATTCAAATGGTCAATTTAATTCGAATATAAAAGATATTCATTTTGAAAATATAATTTTAGAAAAATTTTCTCATCGTGGACTTAATGAAAGAGGTTTACATACAAAATTAATACTAATATTAGATAAAAATAATCAAATATCAATTCCATTATACGCACGAAGAGGTTGGAGAAGTTTAATAGGTTTATCAAAATCAAATCTTTGGAAATTAGTTATTCCATTAAAATATTTTCAAAATGATAATTATCAAATTCAATTTATTTTAGAAAAAATTTTTCAAAACAAATTTCGACATAATGTTTATGTTTATGAAACTAAACAAGAAATTTTTATTACAAATACTTTTTGTAGTCGAACAAAATTTAAATTTACTTTTAAAATTAAATCAATATAATGCGGAGTATCGAGCGGACAGGAGATTCGACACGTTGTGACTCTTACATTTATTCTTCTCGTTCTAGAAATAATATGTATAAGAATATAATTATCGTTGGAGCTACTGGAAGGTATCTTGGAAAAAAAATAACAAGTAGTTTTCTTAAAAGACAAGATGATTTTAATGTATCAATTCTTTTGTCGAAAAAAGCAATGGAGGTTAATGAAAGCTCCTCTTGCCTTTTTTTAATTCAGAATTAGATTTTTGCTTTAGGATGAAGAAAAAAAGAAATTTTTTGAAGATTTTCAAAAACAAGGTGCGAAACTTATTTTTGGTGAACTTGATGATCCTATTGGACTTGAAAAAGTATTATATAATAAATTTTAAATTGAATTTTCTTTCTCTCATTTTGTAAATAGTCTCTTGAAGGAATCGATGTTGTTATTAGTCTTTTAACTGGTCATGATCAAGAAATACTTTTCAATGGACAAAAATCTCTTATTGAAGCATCAAAAAAAGCACATGTAAAACGATTTATTACATCAGGTTATGGAATGGATTTATCTCGAATTAAGTTCGTTTTGTTTTATATATTTTAAAGTTTATTTTCTTTCAAATAATTTTCTTTAGAGAAAAGGAATGTTATTATTATGTACCAAAACAACGTATTGAAAGTCTTTTAGAAAATGATTCATCAATTGAACATACATTTATTGCAACTGAACTTTTTGCAGGTTTTATTTTTTTTTCTCCTAATTATTTCTCTTTAAAAAACTAATTTCTATAGAATTTCTTTTTACACCTGATTTTGGTATTGATATAAAACAACGAATTATCAAATCATTTGGTCCATCAGATATGAAAATTTCTACAACATATACAGATGATATTGCATTACTTTTACCTGATATTATTTTATCAGATGAAAGTAAAAATGCACGTATTAATATTGCAAGTTTTACAACAACATTTAAAGAAATTCATCAAGTAGCTGAAAATGTTACTGGAGAAGTACATTGAATTATTTTATAAAGATTAAACCTATAGTCTTATCTTTGATTTATTTATTAGAAATTTCAATTTGTTGAAGATCGATCATATGAAAATCTTACTAAGGAAGAATTATATAAACAAGTTTTTGAATTTGTTAAAACTGTTTATGCAAGAGGTAAATTAAATATTTCTTTTTAAATAAAAAATTCATTTTGTATTCTTTTAATAGGAGAGGGATATTTTGATAAACCATTTAATAAAATTCATCCAGAACTTTCAAAAATTCCAACAACGACCCTTGAAGATTATATTAAAATAAAACTCAGTGAATAATAGTTTTCTCTTAATGAGATTTTAAATAAAGAAATTCTACATCTTATTATCAGCAGGTGAATTTTCAAAAAGAAAACACCAATTCTATCTGCTGATGCAAGAAAACATATTTCTATTTTTTTAAATACAATCTAAGAGAAAGTGTAGAAGTGCTTCGAAGAAAGATTCGGATGAACAAACAATGACCGATGGTATGAAAGACACCATCTTGAGGATGGGTGTGGGTATGGGTGTATTTTATTTATAACCACACCCACACCACACCCTGAACAAAGATTATAAACTACAAATTAAACCAATAATAAAAAATATAAGAACAATACTAAATGTAATATAAAATGATGATGAGTTTTCTACAATTTCATTTGTTCGTATAAGAGTGTGAGTGTATTTTATTTATTGAAAATTGATTAGTTTGTGATTCATCACGCTCTCCGAAGATTTTGTGTTTTCTTTAGTGAAGATGAATATCATTTTATCAATTATTCATTATTTCTTAAGTTATTTGAATAAAAAGACAGGACATTATTCAGGCCAACAATAATAAGTTTTTCTTTCTAATGTACAACAGATATATGTACATACTATTTCTCTCGTTCTGTTCTTTCCTCCATACTCTCTATATTAAACACGAGCAAGAAACGAATAGTACTGAAGAATATGATATAAACCATATTCTTTTACATACATATTATTCATATAGAAAGAAGAAAAAAACAACAATATGGCTGCTGTAGCAAAACTATTGAATGGACATGTTCTTGATAAATCGAATAGAAATATTGATCTTAATGATGAAAAATATCAAGGAAAATTTATTGGTCTTTATTTTAGTGCTCATTGGTAAATTTGTTTTTTCTCGAAATTTTATAGAAAATAAGGTTTATTTTTCTTTTGAGTAGGTGCCCACCATGTCGTAATTTTACTCCAGTATTAGTTGAATTTTATAAAAAATATGCCGAAGAAAAAAAATTTGAAATTATTTTTATAAGTTCTGATAATGATGATGAATCATTTAATGAATATTATAATGATATGCCTTGGTTAAAATTAGATTTTAAAGAACGTCAAATAAAAGAAGAATTAGATACAAAATTTGAAGTCGATGGAATTCCATCATTAATCTTACTTGATGGAAATACAGGAAATGTTCTTTGTAATGATGCAAGACAACAAATTCAATTTGATGATAAACAAGGTAATCATTTTCCATGGAATACTCCTCAAACAAAAAAATCATCTCGATCTTGTATTTGTTGTTAGTTTTATGGAATTAACTATAATATTTATATTGAAATGTAATCATTGTTACACTTTTTCTATACT